TTTTTTTTTCTTATCCCCCCCCCCTCATTTCCTTATGTCCTTTCACCCTCCCCCCCCCCATATGTTACCCCCTACTTCTTAAAACTTTTTGTTGACCCCCTGCAGAGCCACTTTGAAACTAAGATCTCCTAAAATCAATTTTAAAAAATTTAGACTTCTTCCTCTAGAACCAAATAGATTTTAATAAGCAAAAACAGATTAAAATTATGAACAATTAAAATGTGTGCCATTAGAAAGACATGTTAAAAACACAACAGAGGTTGGCCTGAGAATGAAAGGAATTGAGTACTAGAATCCGAAAAAATAAAGCTTTTTAACTTCAAAGGACTTCTTTTCCACAAACAATTTGTATAATCCCTTATATCTTTGGCACTATGACATTGGCCTTAGAAAACTAATTCTCTTAGATCAAATAATCTAAGTTTACACTTTCAGGTTGCAAAGAAATAAGGATTAGAAATTTTGAGTTTGTGGCAAAGACTCAATTACTTTATGGGAGTTCATAATAAATTACTTAAATACTGTTACCTCAAATTGTTTTCCAATTCCAGTAAATGCAACTAAATCCTCCAACACTAAAAGCTTAAAGAATGTATTTGATGGATTCGTAGATGGGAAAAAGTTGCGGATTTTAGAGTGTAAAAAATGTTAATCCTTAACACCCCGGTATTCTGGTAAATTCTATATTCTTCCTGAAAATTATAAAAATATTTTAAACTTCGGCAAATTTTTATATTAAACTAAAAGGATTTTAATCTCAGCGGTTTGTTTTCATTTGATTTTGGGGAACTTTCATAGGCTTAGATGCTTAGATTAATATTAATCTAACAAAAACTGAAACAAATATTGTATCTAATAAAATATTTAAATGTGAAGTTTTTTGGAGAAAAATACTCTTTTTTCAAAAATCTATAGTAAAGCTATTTACTCACATGTATATATTTGGGGGGGGGGTCTTTTATTGTTATTATTTTATTAATTTTTTTACTATTCTTTTTTAAGAGCATAATTCTTTACTTAAAGATTTGATTATGATAACACTTAATTTTATTTCTAAATTATTACAACACAAATGAACATGACATTTGATTATTTGTATAAAAAATAATGATTACTCGGATAATAATGATACTGCTTATATCTAGCTATATTATGTGACTGAATGTCTTCAAATAAAATGATTGTTGACATCAAATTAAATTTTAGTTTCAAGTCATTTACTTTTACAGAAAAAAACATAATAAAATCTAATTTAAATAAACAAAATAGTATTTTATTTAAAAGAATTATTAATTAATCTTAACTATATGTTTTGATAAAAACAAGAATTGATCATACTTTTCTAACGTTTAAATGAATTATTACAGCAATAATATGAATTATAACACTTATAATAATGATACTGTTAAGTGCCTAAGTTGAAATATTATAATAATTATAATATGTACGATCATTCTTTTAATAATGATACTGATTAGTGCCTAAGTATATGAAACATTACAAAAATAATATAAATGATTACACTGATACTAATGATACTGTTTATTGCCTAAGTAGGAAACATTACACTAACAATGTGAATGATTACAATGATAGTAATGATACTGTTTAGTGCCTGAGTATAAATTCTTACAATAATAATATTAAGAAGACTGATTACACTGATAATAATGATACTATTTAGTGATTGAATATTCAATATTATAATAATAAGATGAATGATTACACTGATAATAATGATACTGTTTAGTGCCTGAATATGAGGTGGTTCATGTTCACTCAAGAAAACAGAAAAGAGACACTGATCCAGTTCATCAGGTAGAAAATATAAATTTACACCTGGAGAAGCCACAATAGAAAATAATTAATATTCAGATAGAAAAATATAGATTTCTTATTCATTCTTACTCTATGATATACAGTCTTAAAGGGTATCTGAAATTACGTATGCACTCCTCATTCCCTTTTAAGAATATTGTTTCGTTATTATATCAAAATAAAGAATTCATTTATTAAAATTATAATTTGAGCAAATATATTGATAAAAAGATGAATTAATGAATGGCATAACCATAATATTAGATAGGATAGATGGGGTTAAGCTTGCTATTCATATAAAAGCTGGTTTTCGTGTTAAACCTATTTGATTAATCGTCATTATTGAGGCTTTTTGTGCTATACAGCCTAAACCGTAAAGAACCCACTCTTATTCCCCCCCCCCTTTTCATTCTGATCTTCAACCAAAAACTATGTTCATAATATAAACCCCATTCTCTCCATTTTTATACAATTGAGAAATGATAATATTTCTTTTTCTGGCAAAGTTCCATAGTTTAGTTTCTTGATTTTACTTGGGACATAAGCAAAAGATTTTTTTTTCAAAATTCGAATTTATTCAAGTGTTTCAAAGTTCAACGGGCAACACCGAGCACTTAGCTTGTTTTTAGAAAACGATCATGATCCTGAGGGAATGGTCCAGAAAATGAAAGTATTCATGACTGGAAAAAAAATCCTATTTTTAAACCTTGATTTTCCATGTTCAGGTCTCACTCCGTGTATTTGGTCGGGACCTGGAGCTTGAGCTGAGACGAAACCTGAACCTCGTTCCGGAGAACAGAAACCTCGACCTCTTCTTCGCAGAGAACGACAAGGACGACATCAGCTACGTCATCGACGATCAGGTACGTCAAATCAGTTGCCAAAATCCGGGAAATATTTTTAAACGTCTACGCGCATAAAAAGGTCGGTCAATAACCTCATATTTTGACCAAATAACCGGTTTTACCCTTTTCTGCTGGCCTGGGGAGTAGGGAAGGGTGTATATACTCTATCTAGATGATTAATCATGGTTTACCTCCGTGTTTATAGTATCCGGCCTTGAACCTGGAGCTCTAGTTGTATGCTATAATCTGTATTAATATATTCTTTAGATGTTCACATAGATTACAGGGGTAGACAATATTTACATTGATCAATTTATAATTTCATTTTTGTTTGAGTTTTAATTTTTAATTTGCAAAATAAACAATTTTCATGTTACCATAACTTTATATATGTCGTATTGTGATGATTCTGTGATGATATGATGATGCATGTTGCATACGCAAATATGTTTTGCAAACATTGCGTGCAGAAATATGCCAGGGGTCTGTTTATAAACGAAAATTATTTTATGGCAAGTTTCAAAAGACCTAAAGCGTTTTTTTTTTAACATTTTTCTTACTATTTTTATCCAGCATATTATCACATGATAAATTGCATGGTTAAGAGTTAAGAATAAATATTTTAGCGTGATGCTACTACAACTAATAGAAGACGATCTCATAAAGAGAACCCCCGCGTTTTCATCCCAAATATTTCTCGGATTTTAACACCTTCGCGCCATAAATTTTGCTCCAGTAATCAGCTGTCAGGATGTGATAGAGTTTTGAGCTCCGTGCGCGTTGCGCGTAAAGTAGGAAATTTCGTGCACAGATCCAATCCTTGTCTTCATAGTTTAGGAACTAATTTGAGAAGGCGCGTTCGTGTGTTTTCATGCAATAGATGATTCATAAAATATTTGAAACTCAGGCAACTCGATACTATTTAACATTATCCATCAAATTTCATCATTTTTCTCTCATCATTTAAAAAGATTCGACATGCATAATTGCATATAATCCCTGCATGCAAAGACTGAAATGCCCGATGTACAACGGGACTATATTGAAACCTTTATCTGATCAATAATGGGGAAGATATTGTATTTTTTCAGGGTTTAAAAGTATTAAGTTTTAAAAAATATATTTACTTGCCGTAGAAATGCGCAAGTTGCTGTTGTAGAGAAACCTCAAATGACAATAATCCGTTTTCTAAATTAAAAACATTGATATCTAATTGATCAGACAGATTCAGGTGCGTTTGTTATCTTATGGGTCACTCTAAATCCCTCCTACAGTCTCTTTAATCCTAATGAAAATAAAAAGCAAGAGTACATTTACTTGATGATGTGTAGACTGATAAAGCAGAAAAGTATTTTTGCAACATTTAACTTCATTGCATATCTTTTAAGTGCAAAACACGACAAATAAGTTTTGCATCAATTCTAGAGACATTTTATGCATTGTAACTTTAAACCTGCTGGCTCACTTCAAAGCCATTTTCAGAACCCNCATAATTGTATATTGTATAAATTTAGAATTCAAATCCTCTAATTCTGAATCCATCCTTCCTGTTTCAAAACCAAAATTCTGAATCCTACCCTTTCTATTTCCTAAGCATACTCCTGGCTCATGTCCTTCCTGTTTCCCAACCTTAATCCTGAATCCTACCCTTCCTGTTTCAAAACCATAATCCTGAATCCTACACTTCCTGTTTCCCAACCTTAATACTGAATCCTACCCTTCCTGTTTCCCATCCCTGCTCCTGAATCCTACCCTTCCTGCTTCCATCAAACAGTCCTAAATCATATCTTTCCTGTTTGAAAATGACGGTCCTGAATCCTATCCTTCCTGTTTCTAAACTATACTCCTGAATCCTATCCATCCTGTTTCCAAACCATACTCCTGAATCCTATCCTCCTGCTTCCATCAAACAGTCCTAAATCATATCTTTCCTGTTTGAAAATGACGGTCCTGAATCCTATCCTTCCTGTTTCTAAACTATACTCCTGAATCCTATCCATCCTGTTTCCAAACCATACTCCTGAATCCTATCCTTCCTGTTTCCAAACCATACTCCTAAATCCTATCCTTCCTGTTTCTAAATTATACTCATGAATCCTATCCATCCTGTTTCCAAACCATACTCTTGAATTCTATCCATCCTGTTTCCAAACCATACTCCTGAATCCTATCCTTCCTGTTTCCAAACCATACTCCTGAATCCTATCCTTCCTGTTTCCAAACCATACTCCTGAATCCTATCCATCCTGTTTCCAAACCATACTCCTGAATCCTATCCTTCCTGCTCCCAAACCATACTCCTGAATCCTATCCTTCCTGCTTCCAACCAACAGTCCTAAATCATGTCATTCCTGTTTGAAAATGACGGCCCTGAATTATATCCTTCCTGTTTCAAAACCATTACTCCTAAATCCTATCCTTCCTGTTTTCAAACCATACTCCTGAATCCTATTCTTCCTGTTTCAAACAATAACTATATATGAATCCTATCCTTCTGTTTTAAAACCATACTTCTGAATCCTATCCTTCCTGTTCAAACAATAACTATGAATCCTACCCTTCCTGTTTCCAAACTTGCTCCTAATTTAATAACTAAATAAACTAATGGAAGAGCTTGGCGCCTAATATTGGAGGTGCCGGGCGCCTAATATTGGAGGTGCCGGGCGCCTATTATTGGAGGTGTCTGGCTCCTATTATTGGAGGTGCCTGGCGCCTATCCCCTCTAATGAGTGTACCCTTAGTTGTTGGATTGACGAAGCATGTATACTAGATACTACACATCATATACATGTCATCTCATAGCACAGATACTTATACATAAAGATCCCTTCCTCATCTTCCTTTAATCTCTGAACGAAGAGTATTTTTTAAGACTTCCGGCTCCTTTTTCTAACAAGAATCTAAGGTTTTTTAATGGTACTTTAATACATGCTATCTATATATCTATCTATCTATCTATCCTTCTATCTATATCTATTTATCCTTCTATCTACCCATCTCTCTCGTTAATGTTACTTTAATATAACATGCTACTATTTTCTATTTTGCAGATTTTTATCGCAAATAGTTTCCTTTTCTAAGTACTTATTTTCATCATTTAATCATCCCAACAGAAAATGTGGGCGCACAATCGATTTAGCAGTTTTGATTTTAACCAAAAATCCAAACAAACAAATCTCTCTCTCTCTCTCTCTCTCTCTCTCTCTCTCTCANCTCTCACTCTCTCTCTCTCTCTCTCTCTCCATGTGATATTTGAAAACGCATCCTATGACTGCACTTGACTGGGTTTATAAACCTCTTATAACGGTTGAAAGGTATTAAAGGTATTATAAACCCTCCTTGACACGAACCAAACCTCTAATAAGGAACTAAATATATAAACTGTTTAATAAACTGAGCAACAAAATCCACAATTTGATCAGTAATTTTGATGATAAATAAAGCATTAATTTGTTTGGTAAAATCAAAAGAGATTGAGTTTAAATTTTTGGTCACATAACAAATAGTTTCTAATCAAGTCTTTTCAAAAGTGTGAAAGTTAAAAAGAAAGAAAAAAGAATAAGTAACAAAGAAAGGAAGAAAGAAAGAAAATAAAAAATAAAAAAGAAGAAATAGATGGATAAAAATAGACAGATAGAAAGATAGATAGAAAGAAAAATAGAAAGATAGAAAGAAAGATAGAAAGAAAGATAGAAAGATAGAAAGATGGAAAATAGCAAGATAGAAAAAAAGAAAGATAGAAAGATAGAAAGAAACATAGAAAGATAGAATCCCGTCATTAAAGTGTTAGTTTATATCTATGTAAACTTATGTACTTTGATTATATATATATATATCTATCTATCTATCTATATATCTATCTATCTATCTATCTATCTATCTAGGCAGAACAGAATAGATATAAAAATATTAGATTTGATAAAGAGATAAATGAATGAATGTCATAATAATATCTTCATCCAACTGTATTAATTATATTTCGCAAACCAAGCACTCTATACCCTCACACACCTTCTCTAGTATTACCACAAAAAAATAGAGATGAAAACAGTCACCTTTTCACCTTTTTTCTCACATTTAAAGGGTTGCATGGCCAATTCACAACGGTACGCTTTAAACCTTTATCTGAGCAATAATGAGGGTGATATCGTCGTTTTCTATCTTAAAAATTGTAAATCCCTGATAATTTCGTTCTTCTAAACACCAATTGGAAATTATGAATTTTTAGATACAAAATTAAGGAGGTATGCAGGGTACTCTACTGAAGTATATGTCCCTCAAATTAAACGTGGAAACAGCGTCTATCTCTAAACTGAGCTTTGTCAGCAAAGCTAACTAGCATATCATTCCAGAAATGCAGTTTGTATTAAAAAAAAATTTATTGAAAAATTTGCAGCAATCATCAATATTATTGGGGAAAAGTCAGGGATGGCCAAATTTTGACTGAAGATTGGAGTATTTTCTAATTAATAAAAATTTGATATTGTGTATTATTTGTCCTACTCCAAGATAAATCCTTTTATCAGGTACAACTCAATCTCAAACTCCAGGTTCCTCAATAATACCTTAGTCAATATCAATCTGGATTCTATCTGTATTCTTCAGGTATCTGTCTTACAAGATACAACTCAATCACGAACTATTCCGTTCAACAATATGTTAGTCAATATCAAACCGGATACGACTCTACCAGTATTCTCAGGTATCTGTCTTACAAGATACAACTCAATCACGAACTATTCCTTTCAATAATACTTTAGTCAATCTCAAACCAGATACAACTCTGTCAGTATTTCCTAGCCTATATCTATCTTTCAAGCCTCAAAGCTCAGGTCCCTCTCGTTTATACACGAGGCATATAATTACTCTAACACCGTAATCAAAGTGGAGTATTATTCCAACTCTTGTGTATTTGGGTTCTGTGATACAGATTAGATCACTGAACGTAATTACAATTTTTATGTAGTTAAGCGTAGTTAATTATTAATAGGCATAGTTGGATTCCAGACAATGTACAA